TCGTGTGAAAAGGGAGTTATGCGGGTGCAAGGCTGTTAACCTGAGAATCCACTGGAAGCTCGGTATACGCTCTGCGGGACATCTCACAGAAATCCCCATGACCTTGCACCATGGCCACCCTGTGACTTCAACAAAACCTGCTCTGACGAGTGGGCTGGCAGAGACCCACTTGACTTTGAACCATTTTCATGGGAGAAAAGAGAGATAATACTTTTAAAACAACATACCTACTTTCCTCTGGACAAGTAATATTAGAGGAAATTCAGTTACTATTTTTCTTGTAAGTTTCCATAGGCGCTGAACCAAACCAAAGCCACTATCAAAAGAATAACAGACTGTGATCTCATTTGAATCTTTCAATTACCTGAAATCATACTCCAACCTAGACCCAAACCTAACCTATGAAGTTTAGGCCTGCAACTTTAAAAACCAAGGTATTCCTCTCATCTATTATAGAGGCCGATCCAACGTGCTTTCTTCTCTATTCTGTTTAAAAGGAATATCCATTCATTTCCAAATGGAGCTCTCAAAATGACTCATTCAATCAGGGTTTTAAGCACATCATGGAATTAAGAAAGGTACAGTATTAATGATCATTATGCTATAAAATGTCCCCTCTCTAATATGTCTGTTAGAAACAAGTTCAACAAATTGCAAGTTTACAAAAAGATAATCAACTTAGTAATATACCATCACTTGTAAAATAGAAAAGCACATACAGTGCCTTTCTCTAATGCACTTAATAAGAGACAGTCTTAGGACAATATTTTCCAGGCTAGAATGTACTTTCCACTCGCCCTAATAATAAACCTATGCCCAGATGGGAAATGTAACCCGAACTAAATAAACATGCTATAGACGATGAGCAGGCAAGCCAGAAGGCAAGCTGGGGAACCTGAAATGCCTTTGCAAGCTAAAAAGGAGTTATTTATCCATTGCAACAGATAAGACCGAGAATATAAAAAAGTTAGATATTTGATGGCCGCATAATGATGGTGGCTTTGGTTTGGGTCAGAGAGGAAAGTCAGTGGGTCCTGCCACAGGAGAGCATGCATGCATGCAGTCATAATCTTAAGCTGAAGGAAAGGCATACCATACAGTGATACCAGAGCTGTCAGTCACTCTCATATCGCTGACATAATGTCAAAGTGTGCATACTATGTTCCTAGTGACAATAGGTGATCTACACAACTTTCTTGGAATGATGTATAGCCTAAAATTAATTACCTTGAGAACCCAAGGTGTAGGGGGAAAAAGATGAGCAAAACAGAAAAAGAATGGGAAAGAAATGCCACATGAATACGAAGTGATTCCTTTTTTTTTTTTTTTTCCCCAAACACCCACACCAAGACAGCAGTTTCTGACAAGAATGTTCTCGGCAAAAAATAAAATTACAGGAAGGCTTTTTCTTTTTTCTTTTTCAATGAAGAAAAAGGCAGTTCGATGTGCAGATTACTAGGCAATACCATGTGGTATTTTTCTTAAAAGGACCATACTAACATCACTTGTATTTTGGAAAACACTATCTAAATAACATATCTTTTGGATCACAAAGAAATGGTGAGCAGAAGTACAGTTCCCGTGTGCAGTGCTCACTTCTGGATGAATTTGAAAATGAAGCCCGCCGAGGCAGCTTACCTTGGCACTGGAAGCCTTGTTTCCCAAACCCCCTGGAAAACAGAAAACAAGAACAAGTATCTTAGCATCCTTTTCATTGAGACCACATTGTAATGAGTTACATGAACAAGTATTCTACAGGGTTTAAAAGTCTATACTTGGAATCCAATGGCTTGATCAGAAAAATGTGCCCAAGTATCTAATTAGATGAATGTGTACATTCATCTTTTTAAAATAAATACGTGAATCTGTCTATAAAGGACCGCTGAACTATTACCAAGCTTCTAGTTAGTCTTTTCTCCTTTTGATTGATTCTTAAATTTCAAAACAAGAACATGACTTCATACTCAAAATTGTTGGCTACAATATTCAAATGACACAGTGGAGCTTGTGGTTTTAAATTGGGGGGTGGCTTAACTTTTACTCCTGAACAAAGTAATTTTTTTCTCCCTAAAGACAACTGAAAAGTAGCTTGTTAGAAGTTTGTTTCAAATAGTGTATATCTAGAAATTGCCAAACAGCACCACTGTTTACATTTAATTCTGGCTGGAGGAACCCAATTTGATGAAGCATCATTGCTATTGCTTGCATCTGAGATTATCTGTGATCTAATTTTCATTGAGAACCAATGGCATTCAAAGCGCATGCTGAGACCACTTGGCTCTTATAAATCCTTCTAGAGAACTGACTCTGTAAGCAGAGAGCCCCGATGTGGATATTTGACTACAAATACTGTTCCAACAGAATGAACTGCATCAAAATGTTCTCAGAGGCAGCTCATAATCTCTTGCTTTGCATAGCATTTTAAATTTACAAAGCACTCCACATTCCTCTATAATTATCTTAAAGTCATCACCCCCCCAAAAAAATTAAATTCAAACATAGTTTTAAAATACCAGGGCTTAAATACTGAAATAAAATTGTAAGTTAAAGACTCGTAGAAGCCATAATGAAGGAAAATTGAGAAATTAAATCCATTGCAAGATGATCTTGGTGGGTTATTCCCTAACTGTCCAACAGACTGCTTTCAGATTAAGTAAAGCGCTTGCTTGGGGGACTATTCAGAGTGGAAGGGAGCAGGGATCTTTACGTCTACAACACAGTGTGTCTGGTGACCTGAGAACCTCCCCATTTCACCAGGGACTGCTCCTCTAGGCAGTGATAGTGGAGATTCATTAGTTAACTTGGCAATAATGTAAGTCCTTTTTCTAACTTATCTACTTCCGGTAGAAGTAATCAGCAGTCTGTCCCCTTTGAACCGTCTCAGGGTTAACACAGGAGGCCAAAAACTGCCAAATGTAATATCCTCTCTTTGCGCTTAAGTAGCTTTATCTACAGTTACCCGCTCCTTGAGTTCGATTGCTTCAGATGCTAACTACACTCTGGAAACTGTAAAGTGGCTGTGTTGTTCGCCAATGTGCATTTTTGAATGATTTCTTAAAAGGAAGGAAAAAATCAAGCATCTCATTGGCACCCTGGTGGTGGGGCTCCCCTCTTAATTCTTTCCCTGAATGGCATGGGTTCAGAGTCATCCATCCTATCCACTGATACCCCAACATGTATCATGCCAGCCCGAGGACCTGTTGGTGTCTAGGTGCACAGTCAACCCTTGCAGCTCCCCATTCAGGAGGGAGCTAAGGAGTCCCAGTAAGTGTCGGGGTCCTAAGAGAAAACTGAAACTAATATTCAAAGTGGTGGGAGCGAGTACTGAGAGTTAGTTCCCTTAGTTCCAGATTGCTAAGCATTGGGATTTTTTTTTTGAGGGGAGGGGGTTTCATTGACAATTTAAAAATCAGATGAAAGCTATACTTCTCTCATCAGAAAAACAAAACAAAACTCCACAAATCTGCATAAACACAATTTCACCTATTTTGTCAGGCTCCAGAGAGACCCCTGAACCCTTCCATCTATCCAGCCCCTCAGTTACCAACGGTCGGCGTTCACTGGAAATCACCTGAATCGCTGACACCTTTAGCCATTACAGTATTTTTCTTAAATAAGCCCTCTGTCCTCATCAACGGGGTTACAAGTCTAATCTCCTGTTGACAGGGTCTATTTTAAATGACTCCCTCTGCCCTCTGCCATTTGCCTGCTGGGTTAGCCCTCCTCCCTCACGGCAAGCTTTCAACAGTTTGCTGCCTCCCATCTCTCTCCCTCCCCATCCTCCCCCTTCTGGGCTCACCCAGAAAAGTCAAAGTCTCCGTGCCCAGTAGAAACAGCCTACAGTAGGCAGGGACCCAAGGTTCCAGTGGAGTCCCAGCCCGACGCGAGGCACAAACACTCCCCGGAACGCGCCCAGGCTGGCTCGCCAGCAACTTGGAGCGGCGCGCTACTCCGGGGTGTGTTTCTCGCGCGTCTCGGGGCCACTCTGCCTCCAGCATTCTCTCTTCCCGTTCCCTTCGCTCCCACCGGGCCCGCACTGGCCGCTCCGCTTGGCTACGGGGAAGACCCGTGCGCCCCAGAAGAGGCGAGGGGACACCCCCCCACACCACCGGCCATCCGTGTCACCCCCGTGCCGGGCCAAGCGTCCCTTCAGGGCAGGGCATGCGAGGCAGCGCCTGGCCACTTCCCAGGGAGTGTCCCGCGTGGGTGCGCGCCTGTCACTCCAGGCGAGAGTTCGGACTCCGGCCGGGCACTCTTAACTTCTCGGAGAGGTCCTGTCCGTGAGAGTGTGGACGCGCCTGGGCTTGGAGGCGTCCCGGAGCCCCAGTCCCCGGGACTACAAGAACTGAGCCTCGGGCAAAGGTGGCTCCCTGGTCCGCCCCCCCCCCCCCCCCGGGGCTACCGCGCGCACCTACCAGATGAAGTCGGTGCAGTGGCTGCAGAAGGTGGGTTGCTTGAAGAAGCGGGCGATGAATTTGTGGTCCTTCACCTCGTGCACGTTCTTCTGCCTCAGCGCCCCTTTGCGGGCGAAGCGGTTGGCCACGTCCTGAGACGCCGTGGAGTCGTTGGCCGGGTAAACGTCAGCCATGGTCCCCCCCAACCACCTCTTGCCTCCGCCGGAGAGCAGCAGCCGGGGAGGGCCGGGGTGGGCGGGGGCGGCGGCCGAGGTGGCGGTGCAGAGGTGCGGTGGTGGCGGCGGTGGCCGGGGAGAGCCGGGCCGGCGCTGCGCTGCTCGGAGCTGGGAGCGGAGCCGCTCTCTCGGGCTCTCTCCGGCTCTCTCGCTCGCTCGCTGGCCCCACGCTCACTGACAGCCCGGCGCCCGGCGCTCGCGCTTCCTACTCGCGGCGGCGGCAAGAGGCGGCCCGGAGCGGCGCCGCCCACTGCGCATGCCCGGAGAGCTAGCGTGTGTATGTGTGCACGCGCGCGCGCGGCTGGGGGAAGGAGCGCGCGAGGCGGGGGCGCGCGAGGCGCGAGCCGGGGGCCTCTTCGCGGCGCGGCGCTGCGCTGTACGGAGCGGGACACGCGTACTCGGGGGTCCCTGTGAGCCCGGCGACTAGTCGAGGGCGGCGGTCCCGGGGAGGCCCTGGAGATGTCCAGCCCAGGAAGAAGCCGGGAGGGGCGGGTCCTTCTCCTCCGCCGCCTGCTTCTTTTCCTCCCTTTTCCTCTGCTTCCTCCTCCCTCTTTTTTCTCCTCCTCTCCTTCCGCTCGTCGTGCCTGGCCTCCTCCTCTCCCCACCTTCCTCCTCCCACTCCCGCTTCCCTGTTCACACTTTGCTCTTTCTGGGATGGAAGTTCTGTCCCGGAGGAACCAGGCACCGGTCTCCCGACGCCACCCTCCTTAGCAGGTACATAGGTAACCTCTTCTCAAGTTACCTGGACCCACCGGCATTTCTGGGGTTTACTGGTGTTTTGTCATCCTCTACCCGCTCAACCTTCCACCTGACTAAAATGTCACTCTAGTTTTTTATGCCACTAAAATGCCCAAGTCCTAATCCTCACTCTGTACGGAGTAGGTAAAAAGGAGAGGGTTTGAATAACTAATCGTGGGCCCTCTTACCTACTTTCGATCTTTGACCTGCAGTTCACCTGCGTATTATATAGATTTGTATGACAGTCATTATCACCCGGTAAGATGCCAGAGGACTTGTCCTGGTTTGTGATCTCGAAATTCAATGGCCATCAGAATGTGGTGCCGATGATCAGGCTCTCTTGATTTTACATGTCCAGAACCTTAATTTAGAAATCATTTTGCATCCTAAGCTAATTGCTGAGATACTGGCAGGTGTAGAGTTCAGCTAGAGCATTTGTAAATTACCAAGTAAAACTGCTTATGAAAGAGTAGTTGGAATGGATCTATATGCAAGGGCGCACATGGGGGTGGGCACCTGAGCGCCTGCTGAATATTTATAGGTCTGCCTAGAAGATTCTAAGCCTCCAGACAGAAGCAACCATCTCCCAGCAAACGGTTCATTGCCCCATTCTGTCCAGGCCGGCCTCAAACTCGAAGCAATCCTCCTGTCACAGCTCCTGAGTGCTGGAGTTACAGTCATGAGTCATCCATCATACCAGCTACATGATTGTTGAGTACTAATTGCCAGTTTTACTAAGTTCACAAAACAGCTTCATGATTAAATCCATCAAGAAAGAGCACATTCTTTAACTTGAACACCACAGCACTAGCCAGTGATCCCAAGAGGATCAGGAATTTAAGCTTTCAAGAAAAATTGGAAAAGAAGAAAATTGTCTTAAGATACTAGCTTAAGCATACCCCACAAACCATGAAAGACTATTATCCTTCGAGATTGCCTAATTGTGCCTCTTGATGAAAAGATAGCTTCTACATTTAAACAAGTGTGGGCTACTGATTGGCCATCAGCAGAACAGGCCCTTGGCTGACCCGTTTACAATCTGGTGAGCCAGTGTCTTAGGGTTACTGTTGCTGTGACGAAACACCATGACCAAAGGCAACTTGGAGGGGAAAGGGTTTATTTGGTTTACATCTCCTGAATCACAGTCCATTGAGGGAAGCCAAGACAGGAGCACAGACCAGGAGAGAACCTGGAGGCAGGAGCTGATGCGGAGGCCACGGAAGATTGCTGCTTACTGGCTTGCTCACCGTGGCTTACTCAGCCAGGACTACAAGCCAGGGATGGCACCATCCACAGTGGGCTGAGCCCTCCCCCATCCCTCACTAATTAAGAAAATGCCCCACAGGCTTGCCTCCAGCCCAATCTTATGAGACATTTTCACAACTGACAGCAGCTTGTGTCAAATTGGTGAGCCTAGCCAGCACAGCCAGAGTTATGTTGGTACTTGGTGATATTTTATATGGGCAGAAATTTCAACACTTCCAAGCCAAGGGAGCAAGGAGGGGAGAAGTTGGGGAAGAACGAAGAGGAATGCACACTAGGAAAATAGATCAAATTCACCAGAAAACAATACGAGCGTCTCAAGCCATCAATGTTTACTACTGATAACTGTGGTTGAAATGAGGCATGGTGGAATGAAGCAACAGCCCCTCACACAGCCATGTTTACCTAGGATGGGGTCTTCCTCAAATGCTTACTAAAGACAAGCTTTTTTTCTAGCTCCCTGAGGCATCGAGGGTGAGGTGGAGAGAAATGGAGGGTGGGGCTGCTGATGTATCCTTGAGTAGCATAACAGGGAATACAAATAAGAACCAGACAACCCGGGTGGCAGCAGCCTGATACCTTTCTTCTGTGTAGAGAGGAGGGAAGTGATTGCTTTTAACTGTGAGCAGAGAGGATGGAGACAATGTCTCTCTCAAGTTGTGGCTTCGCTTGCTTGCTTGCTTCTGTCCTTACGGGTATGGAGAGAAATGGCTAACCGGAAGTCCATTGATTGATAGCTCAGCTGAGTGTGATTACATTAACTACCTTCATTTGAGCTCAGTTGGCCCAGAGAGGGCGGTGCACCTGAAGTGGAGAACTGCCAGTGACTCAGCAACACAATTGCTCCTCTAGTGTGGGGTTGATCACCCTGCACACACTCTAGCCACCTGAGAAGACTCCCATGGTGCAGCTGAATGGAGAAGATTAAGGGAGAGAATTCTTGGGGAGGCAACACTCAGCGTTAGTGATTGTTTTTAATCTGCTGTTTCATGGAGACTGTACAGGAAACGAACTGAAAAAGGGTAGGTGTAACACGCACAGGCTTTGTCAGAGTCCCTGTCTCTCCTGACTTTAGGGAGTAAAGGCAATACTCTTTGGAGAGAAGTCATCTGCCTAGCAGCTTGGTACTGGGGTCAAAGTCAAGGTCTTGAATTGATGGTTTCAAACCAGAGTGGTTGGCATAACATCAGTAGCCTTGACTTGCAGCGTAAAATTTGTTCTAAGAAACCACCTGGTCTGCTTTCAACTGGGCCATTTTCAAATTGGGCAGTAGGAACTTCTTAAGTATTGAAAAAGCCTGTCACTGAGATTGATAGTAGCCAAGATGAATTAATCACTAAGGCTTTTTCAACATACTATAGAAAGCTTGGGGGGAAAGGTAAAACAGCAGATCAGAATGTATAATCAAGCAGATAGTTAGATTTATGTGACTAGGAGGTCTTGGAATAAATAGACTAGGGTCCAAATGAGAAGGAGAATGTAAGGGCCAGGGGTCATTGTCAGGCAAGCTTGGACAGCTGGTGAGTCAGAAGCCCCAGTCAGAGATGAGTACCAAGTCTTCCAGACACAGTAGAATGAGAAGCAGCTAAAATCCAGGTCTCATACACCTCAACAAGCATGAACCTGTCTTCTCAGAAGGAATGCCATTTTTTTTAAACTCACAGAAAGATACCATGGAGGCTATTTAAGGTCCCAGTGAGCATCCTACTTGATTCCAGTTGGTGGCATGTGACCTGAAAGGACCCTTGGGTCTGGCCTTTTAAAAAAGCAAGCCTTCACCCAAGACCTTTCTCAGCCTCCTCTATTTCACAGTATCACCATCACCTTGTGGCTTAAGTTGAAAGCCAAAGTGCCTTCCCATTCATCCCTCCATTCTAGCCCCTTACCCAATCTAAGAGCTGTCCTCCTGTGGGTTCCACATCCTGAACAGATCTCAGGTTTGTCCGTGGACCCCACTCTAGGATATGTGCCATCATTATCTCTTTCCTGGACTACCACAGAACCACTGAAATGACCTTGCTTCTGTTCTTATACCTTTTAAGTATAAACTTCACAAGTCGTCATCCTTTATCAAATGCCTCTGTTAATTTGTATGTGTGTATATGTGACTGTGTGTATGCGGTATGTGTGCACATGTTCAGGGGCATGTATACACGGATGGAAGCCAGAGGAAAGGTTAGGCACCCTGCTCTGTCATTTTCAAGAGACGGGGTCTCCCCCTGAACCTGGAGAGAGCCTGGCAGCCAGCAAGCCCCACCAACCCTCTTGTCCTCACCCCACACCCTGCTTTAGTTACAGACGCACCTGCCTTTTAGATGCTGGCATTGAAACTCAGGTCCTCGTGCTTGGACAGCAAGCACTCTTAGCTGCTGAGCCATCTCCCCACCTCGCCAATGCACCTGCTTAGATCTACTTTGTGTTTTGAATAAGTGTAAAGATGTCCTTTATATATTCATATAGAAGGAAATTGAAATGCTGATTTCTCTTAAATTAAGCCATAAATAACTCAGCCAAATAAAAGTAGGATTTCTGAAGGAAGTCACTATGATTTAAATGAGGTTTCTCCCTGAAGAGTTCATGACTGGAAGCTTATCTTAGTGTGGAAATGTGGGGAGGCAGTGGGACTTTTAGAAAGTGGGGCTTAGTGGAAGGTAGAGAGGCTAAGTCATGGGCCCCACCTTGGAGAAGGATTAACTGAGTTCTTGGGTGACATCAGTACTTGTCTGAGCAGGTTATTATAAACTGAGGTCACAACATGTGTGTGGCCACTTCTACACCTAGCTGTTTCTTTTAGTGTTTTTCTACCACCTATGACATAGCCAAGCAGGCTTTTTACCATCTGAAACCATGTAACTATGGACCGTTAGCCTTGAAAACTAAGCCAAGTAAACTTTCTTTCCGTGTAAAGTATTCGGCCTCAGGTATTTTGTTACAGTTATGTAGAGTAGACTAAGAAAATGTGCAAAATAACTCAAAAGTCCAAATAAAGAAGCAAGTGAGAAGACATACCTATCGGATATCATTTTTTAAAAAAAGCTAGTGGAAAAGTAGAGATAAATGTCTTGGCCAGAGAATTCTCAAGCAAGATTTCAAGGAGCTGGAGAGATGGCTCAGTGAGTAGAATACTTGCTTTGCAAGGATGGGAGCCTGAGTTTAACCCCCAGAGTCCATATTAAAAATGCTGGGCATGGCCGGGCGGTGGTGGCGCACGCCTTTAATCCCAGCACTCGGGAGGCAGAGGCAGGTGGATTTCTGTGAGTTCGAGGCCAGCCTGGTCTACAGAGCAAGATCCAGGAAAAGACGCAAAGCTACACAGAGAAACCCTGTCTCAAAAAACCAAAAAAAAAAAAAATGCTGGGCATGATAGCATGTGTTTTTTTTTTATCCAGGCAATGGGGAGATGGAAACAGGGGGATCCCTGGAGTTGACTGTCCAGTCAGCCTAGGCTAAGGAGTGAATCTCAGGCCAATGAGAGACCCTGTCTCAAAAGACACCATGTAGTGGGCAGCACCTGAAAACTAACACTGAGCTTGACCTCTGACCTCCAAACACATACATCCTTGCCTATTCTTTGCACACACAAAGAAACAGAAGATCTCCAATCCATCTCATAACAAGATAAATGTAAATTAAGACCATACTGAAATTGCACTGTGACTTAAGATTTGGGCATAGCTTAAAAATTTACTGTTTGTTTCAGTAAAGATATGTGA